TGTGACCATGTAAGAAAGAGGCGCTGTATTTCTAGGGTCTCTGAGCAGTTAGTTCTTATTAATTATAAAAGAAAGAAATGAGAACAGAATTTTGAGAACAATTATAAAAGAAATGAGAACAGAATTTTGGCAGTCACCACCTTCATTACGTGATCAGAATCAGCATCACCAATATGGGGGTGTATCAATCTCACATGTCTCCCAATAAGATGCACTAAGAACACAGCATCACTTCTGGGATATGCTTTCCAGAAATGCAGAGCAGGGAAACACTGGGGAAACCCAAAGTGAGGGACATTCTACAAAATATGTGGCCTGTACTCAAGAAGGTCAAGGTCAAGAAAAACTGAGGACTGGTCCCAGCTTAGAGGAAACTAAAGAGGTGTGATGACTGAATGTAACGTGCGATCCTAGGTTGGATCCTGGACTGCAGAAAAGGCTATAAAAGACTCTAAATGGTACATGCCTACAATGGAATGTTATTCCGTGTAAAAGGAAATGAAATAGCCACAAAAAGGCATGGAGGAAACTCAAGTGCATGTTGCTAAGTGAAAGAAGTAACAGAATCAGTGGTTGCTGGGGCTCTGGGGGAGGGGGGAGGGATAAACAGGAAGGGCTGGGAGGTTAAGGCGGTGACACCATTCTGCGTGACACTGCAATGTCATCACACACTTGTCAAAGCCCATAGAATGTGCAACACAAAAAGTGAACCCTAACGTTAACTATGAACTCTGGTTAATAGTGATGATTTTTTAAAAGCATAGCTATTGAATGAATAATAAAGTGAACTAACAAATGAAAAGAAAAAAAAAAGCATAGCTATTGTGAGAGAAAGGTATTGCCTAACGTGGAAAACTCACTAAGAGATTTAGTGAGCTCTGAGATTTGGTCTTGCAATTTCTTCTGCTCTAGCATGCTGAATGTAAGGTGCAGCACTATTTTACACACCGCTAAGAAAGAAAGAGACCCAACAACCAAGAGGGAGCGTCTGATTGGAGATCCCACATAATGCCGGGGCCACACGGGGCTATGCGTTCAGGGTCAGGGGGAAGCGAGGGTTAATTGCGCCCCACTGAAAGGGGAAGCAAGGAAATCCCAGGTCTTATCTTGGCACTGGGTGCGGGCAGGAGATAAAGTCTACCCTGAGAATTTGAACCTCAGTCCAGAGCTCCCAGAGGTGGGTCATCTAAATTGACACAATCAGTGTGGTCCAATGGAAAACAAAACTCAACCTCCAAGGAGAGATTTTAATTTAAAGAAATCTCAGGTGGAAAGTGTCCCGGGTGGCAGGAAAAAGTAAGCCCCAGTCTTCGCTGGAAAAACTAGATTGTAATAGGACACCCCCATTCCCGAGAGGTGAAAATGTGAATAATTATGAGTCTAAAACCTGCGAAATATGGGCAAGTGAATAAAATGCCACTCTCGAGTCTCTCACCATCTGGACCCATTTCCCAGAGGCCACAGCATGGGATGCCCGGGAGGAATCTGCTCTCCATGCCTGCACGCGGGCATGTGGCCCTGCCTAGTGCACGCTGGCAAAGGCAAGCATTGGCAAATCTGCTCCTCAACTAACAGGCTGTCTCAGGTAGGACCACTTCCCTGTACCAGCGCAGGAATTTAGTCGACTCACAGCCCAACAGCAGCTCAAAAAGCAATGACACTTCATGTGTCTGATTGCTTCAAGCAGACGTATCCGGTGGCACTGAGCTGGCAAGTGTGTAGGCAGCTGCAAATTTAATAAATCTTAATTATTCTGTTTATATAAACAAGCAGGCTGAAGCCACTGACGTAGCTGGAGCTTTCAGTGGCTTGGTGTGTGGAGAGAAACAAAGTGTGGAGAGCCAACTGCTCATAAATAATTAGCTTTGGGGCAGGGTTTTCTTCCCCCCCCCACCCGCTTCCCTTTGGACTAAAACTAATATATGGAATGTTTTTAAGTTGGCAAGATTACAACCTCGGAAAACAGCACCTATTTTCTATCTGTCAGACCTGCGTGTGTATGTGCAGACCTGCAAGTGTATGTGCAGAGCCCCACACACGCATGTGCGCACCCCTCCCAGCCAAACAACACCAGAGGCGCACCAGCGGGAGGATCCCCCCCACTGCACCCCCCAGAAGTGGCACTATCCCTCTGCCATCAGGAAGGGAAGCAGAGGCAGTGACTGCAGACCTCTCCTCGGTCATCACTTACATGGCAATTAAGAATCTGCTGGGCTTCCCTGGTGGCGCAGTGGTTGAGAGTCCGCCTGCCGATGCAGGGGACACAGGTT